TTATCGTATGCACCATTCAATTTGCGAAGCCCTTTGCAACAAAGAAATAAAACTTGGGTGGGACAGCATTATCTGAAGGCACAAATCCTAGGATTAATTTTAATTTATATTTCTGCTCGAGTCTCTACCACTCAAAGGTAAACTGGATGGTTTTAGATCGACCACAAGAACCGTTACCAGATGGAAGATTATACACGGGGCAACTGACAATTTCCATTTTCTGTCGTCGATGTGCTCAGGTCAGCCATCTTCCAGTTATAACCAGTTGCTTTCAGAATTCTCAGAGCCTTTAGAGTTATTCCAGTTTAATCTCCGATATACCAGAATAACAGGCATGTCGACTTTTTTATGTTTACATTTTTACACAATGTCTCTTACATTTTCCTCTTTCTTTCTTGTCAAAACTCTAGGGTACTTGTCGTCAATTGTTTAGTTTTTTTTAAAAGGTACATTTTCGTCTGTAGAAAGGACATTATTAAGAAAAATAATGTTATTTCTTAATGAGTCGAGCAGCATACTTGTGAAGAAACGCTTTTGTTCGACAGCCTACATCCCGCAGGTTACAAACTGTTCCTTTGGTGACTATATTTGATGCATTAATTTACATCCAGTTGAAGTATGTAGTACATATATAGCATAAAAAACTTGTTAAAAAGCTTCACAAAAATGACAGGTCCCCATCCGTACCTTGTTTGCCAAGCTAATCAGTAATAGTGTTTATCAATGGAAAAATTACTTTATAAGAAGTTAGTATTGTAGATGATAAGCAATATCAGAAAACTAAACATGGTAGAAAAAAGAACATAGAAAACTAAACATGATTAACATCTAAACATGAAAGAAACCTTAACAAGATAGAAAACTGAACATCATAGATAACTAAACAATGAACATGATAGAAAACTGAACATGTTGGAAAACTGAACATGATAAACATTATAGAAAACTATTATTGTCACCACCGAACCGCTGACTAAAAAACCGTCGTTGTGGTTTATCAGAATAGAGGACGAATCTGTATCCCCAAATAATTCTAATCCGGGTGGTTTCCAGATATCAGTAATGTGGTTTGGAAGCTGCAATGGAAAAAGCGTCAATTCGCTCATGATAGGGATGATAGACACCGTAAGCTACAGGATGTGCACATCAAAGATCCTTATTTACAGAAGTATGCCTTGATAATGAGTCATGGTGAATTTCCTACATTGCACATGATGTTGTCTGTCTGGTTTTATACAAATCTGTCACTGAAAGCAAGAGGCACCAGTGATTTAAGACGCCCATTTCGAACGATTTCAAAGTCACAATTTGGCAACGAGCATCATCTGGGTACAGAAAGAGCAACGCATGTAGTGTTACATTGTAAAATTGACAAGTAGGTGAGTTCATAGAAAAAAAAGAGAAAAATCCTTATAGATATTGCCAGTTTCCCTAACCCCACCACCTAACCTTTATCTACTCTCTGTCTGATATTTCCTTATGAAAAGAAATGGTCTCACAATAAAATAAATAAAAAAGATATAGTAAATTCCTTCGATAAACAAATTGGCCCCATTGTGTAGTAGAAATAATGACCGATATAAAATACACAATAATACGTGACACCAACTGTTTAAATCCATCCCTCTCATTTGATAATTTGAATAGATAACAACTTAATAAGAGTATTTTTACTACATCCTCAGAACAGACAAGGTTTCAGCAGTGCTACTTGCAACATGCCGTGTTCAAATTTCTCAATTTTTTTCTTACTTTGTGGGACGTTGGTTGCAAATGTTTACGGTTAGTTTTTATGTTTTTATTTTACTTTTAGCAAATAAGATTTTTTGAATTATCTATTTGCAAAGATTCGGCGATGAGAAAGTACTTTCCTATTAAATGTTGCATGGAGGTGCTTCCGATAAAATTTAGAAACTGTTTATATGGATCGTGATAATCAAAAGTTAGACAATTTATAAGGAAAAAACTTCATTGTTTGCGATGCCCAACAATAGAATAATTTTTGTTAATTTAGAAAAAAAAGATTACCAGATGAAGCATTTGCTTTCGTTTTAATTTTCCAGGTGAGGAAGCCCATCTCAGAAGCAAACGAGCAGTAAGCATATTTTCAGTCTTGATTACATTATGCGTTGAGGCCTTTTCGCATTTTGGGAACTAGATGTTTTTATTTTCTTTTTTGACTAATGTCAGTTTGAACGAGAAAAATGTACCAAGAAATAAAGACCTTCATAAAATTATACCTCCTATTTTTCTTTCGGGAATGTTTTTTTTTAAAAACTTTGAAAGAGTTTACATGGCCAATAATATTTTTGCTATACATCTAATCTGTAATATTTTTACCTGGATTATTTCTGATTATATTCCTTTTAGACATGTGAACAAGCTTATTACACCATCAGTCCACAACATTCTATGTGTTTAACTGATAAAGGAACAGCAGTTGCATTATCAGAAGCAGAAAAACAAGCTATCGTTGATCAGCACAATCAACTGCGAGCTGTACAAGGAAATGGGCAACCGCAGGCCACAAATATGCAGAAAATAGTAAGCATGGTGTTTAAATAGAATATTATATTCGTTGGCAGTATTTTTTCGACTTCAAGTTTTTTCTTAAGAATTGGTATAAGAACGATTTCCTCTAACAGTGAGGCAATGACGTCCTTGTACTATTTCAACTATAGCCTACTACCAATGCCTCTTGTGCTTAGAACTTAGCACGGTAAAAATTCCAATTTAAAAAAGTTTTGTTGAAATTTATAACAAAATGAACACTAAGCATTGACATTTGACGGACGTCAATGCAAAATATCTATTTGCCAGACCCGGGGTCAATTAATTGTAAATGAACTTTGCTTAGTTTTAGTAGAATTAAAATCATTGGAATGGTGCAGTAGTATATCCGATGTACATAAGAGGTTAAAAAACAACATCGTTTGACAAATTTAAGTCCGCTTATCAATTTTTCGTGTAGGTTTGGGATGACGAAATCGCAAAGGTTGCATCAAAATGGGTTCGTCAATGCGGCAGTGGAAGTACGGCTCATGAATCAGATGCTAACTTTAGGAGCGTTAAAAGTGAGTCATTTTTGTTATTTATCATAAAAGCTTTGACTCTTTGGAGTAGTTGGTGAAAACATTTAAATTGCCTCCGCTACAAGACAAACCTTATGATTATCTCTTTAACAGATCATCAGTGATAAATCAAAATCGTTTGTGAGTTCATTGCTTTTGAGCTGCATAAATCATATGAGGACAGAGTGCGTGTAGTTTAAATACCATTGTAAGCCGTCAATTCTTAACAATGCCCTAAGATTTTAATTTACCTTCAGTCTGTTGGGTCAATTCATAGCATATCATTCTTAACATATTGCAGCTTTGCCGGGCGTGCCTATTGGACAAAATGCAGCCAATGGTTTTGCAACATTTGAAGATGCCGTTCAAGCCTGGTATGACGAAGTATCAGATTTTCAATATGGTGTTGGTGCTACTAAAAGTGGTGCTGTGATTGGACATTATACCCAGGTAATAACTCATGTTCTTGAAGTATGATGATCTTTTGCTTTCATGGCAGTATGTCCCGCACAACTGTCTGTAGGATGTTTCAAAGCTATATTTGACTCAGGTCAAAACGACCGGTCGTTGGAAAAGACACACTTAAAATGCACTGAAAGGTTTTTATGAGGATCATTCAGACAAATTCATTGGAGATATCAGCGAATATCTCCATGAGTCAGAATTCAGAACCGGGTGACCGGGTATCGACCGAAGTAGCCAAGCACTCAATGAACATATAGAAAAACAAAATATTATAATAAATAAAAGTTCAATCATAATGGTCCATGAATATTAAAAGAGACATTTCTATGTAAATTGCCAACTTTGACACTTTGTGGCAACTTGTTTATGTTAATTGCAACGATTATTTCATGTCTAGGTTGTAAATGCAAAAGTGGCCAGAATTGGTTGTGGTAAGGCGATGTGTAACTCCAAGCCTTATTATGTATGCGATTATGCTAAAGCGTAAGTAGAGATATTAAACTTTAAAGTACATTTAAGTTTACAATGACTTCCCAGAGGACAGATCTGGCTCAATAAGACTCATATTTATTATATCAATATATGGCGAATTTTAGACAAAATAGAATAGTATATTCTAAAATATTGCAAATATTGATCAACGTTAGAGAATCAGATATTCCGGGATAAAATCAAACACTTCATCAAACGAATTCGAGAACGACTTAATGTCTCTGGCTCCATAAGATTTAATTTGATTATATGAATAGATGGTGATAGAATTACGGTTATAATGGAATCGTGTATACTTATTGCCATTATTGCTCTGAGCTTGAGTATCTGATCCTCCTGGGTTACATCAGACACTTTCTCGATATAAAATTCGAAAATGCATTAATTTTAATTCTTAAATTCTGCAGTTACATTAATCTAGCGTCTTTTCTTTTAAAATTTTCAGCCAGATGATGGATGAAATGAAAGCACCTTACGAGACTGGAAACGGTGACCAGTGTCCCAACCACAGAGACACAACTCGAACTCTTTGTGGTTAGTTTGAACTAAAGTATAACTTATAGCATTGATTACGAGAAAGCTGTTTGGAAAGGGAAAAGCAAGATTCTTGAACTTGGTAGATCTCAAACAGATAGAAATCGGAAAAGAATCGAAATAAAAATAAAATTCACTCGTAATACAATAAAGCGTTACAGTTTAAATAAACTGCAAGGAAGTTAAACGTAAAAATTTGATATTTCCAAAGCAACTGAAAATATCTCAGTATGTAAAATACGGCAGTCGTTCAAGAAGGCATCTTAAGATTAATAATCTCCACAGAAAGCTTATGTAACTTTACAAAATGCATAATCCCAAAATATGCCGAACCCCTTAATATCACATTCTTTAACATTAATCTATAGCGAAAGTTGATCGGATCGGATGTAACAAATATTAATACTTGTATCATCTATGTTCATGGTTTTTTTTTCAGATTGTAATGGATTAATATGTTTGAATAAAGGTACGATTGATTTGAAGACATGTACATGTTCATGTGATGGTCTATACAAAGGAACCACCTGTGACCAACGTATGTATTTTTTAATTCAAATATTATATTTCCTTTGGATTTTTTCTAAAGCCAAAGAAGTCTGAGCAAATTTCATGTGTTGTTACATAACCTAATTGTATCAATACTATTTGTAAAGCAACTGCCAATGTTTCTATTGTTTAAAATATGAATGAGATGAAACGCATGTGAAGTTCTCTGTGCAAATTTAAAAAAGAACATAGAAATTCTTAGCAACAGTTTATACAAATATTGACAATTTCAAATATTAAAGCTACTTCCCGTTTCTTGATGTGTTATTTATATGAAGTGGTCTACAGTTTCAATTGAATACGGTAGGCATAATACCCCCTTGTACTCTTCGTAACATAATGTATGGTACTTGAAAAAAGAGTATAATTCAACATTTAATTCACTAGTTTGTACTGTGGCATTCTTGAAATATATTTGACTAATAGAAGAATTAAATTACTCTTAAAAGGAAGTTTCTTCTTTAAAATTATTATTAATAAAATTTCTCAAAGAAGCCATTTAAAAGGAGTTTCAAATATAAGGTTTATGATTATTTGAGTCATAAGCCCTATGCAAAGATTTTTATACTTTGCTTTCATATGGTGCTTCATTCAACACTTCAAAATTTCATGTTTTACCCTCAATATTTTAACTCGTATATATGACCATAAATGGTCCTTTAAATGCATAACCTCCGAATGAAGAGCTTGGATAAATATACACTCACACCACTACTGAACAGATGGTTATCATTCCCATGAGGGTATATTTACAAACAGATGGCTTCAGCATCATACTTATCGTCCAGAACAAATAAGCCGGCTACTGTTTAGTAGATCGTATCATCCAAACAAGATTTAGTCTTCCACAATGTAACAAAATATTGAAAAAATGATGCTTGATTTTGATGGTCAGTCGATGATGCACACCAACGATTACATTGAAATGATAAATTAAGACGTATTATAGAATCTTAAAAAAAAAAAAAAAAAAAAACAAATCAAAAAATCAGCAGTGATCGCTGCTGGAAGCTGATAAGACATAAATGCCATTTAAAGTTATTAAAATTCGACGGATTGGGAAATAATCCATTTCGTGATGACACGGTTTTACTCTTTGTTTTGTTTTTTTTTTGAAAGGTTGGAAAATAGCAGTAGTTTGACTACCTATTTAAGATTCAGAAAACAGCTGCTAGTGAGCGTATGTTATGTCTGGTCAACTTTTTTTTTTAAGTATTTACTAATGTTATATGAATGTTTACTTTTACTATCAGTGAACTGCCCAGCTGAGGATGGCCAATTTTGTAGAACTCAATGGCCTCCAGAATATTGTTCGAAATTCAGCAATGTTCCAACAGATTGTCCCTACATGTGTGGACTCTGTAAAACCGGTAAGGTTGTTTATGGTTGTCCTTGTAACGCCCGTTTGCATCCCAAATCTCCTTGTTAATTCTATCCCTATTCACCTTGGTTATGTTGTTCCAAATCACCTAATTCTTGTTATCTCAAATTACCTAGTTTCTACTATCCCAAACACATTATTTATATTATCCCAAATCACCCTGTTTCTATTATCCAATATCCCACTTCACATTGTTTCTATTATCCAATATCCCACTTCACCTTGTTTCTATTATCCCATATACCACTTCACCTTGTTTCTATTATCCCATATACCACTTCACCTTGTTTCTATTATCCCAAATCACCTTGTTTCTATTATCCCATATCCCACTTCACCTTGTTTCTATTATCCAATATCACCTTGTTTCTATTATCCCATATCCCACTTCACCTTGTTTCTATTATCCCATATACCACTTCACCTTGTTTCTATTATCCCATATCACCTCGTTTCTATTATCCCATATACCACTTCACATTGTTTCTATTATCCCATATCACCTTGTTTCTATTATCCCATATACCACTTCACATTGTTTCTATTATCCCATATACCACTTCACCTTGTTTCTATTATCCCATATCACCTCGTTTCTATTATCCCATATCCCACTTCACCTTGTTTCTATTATCCCATATACCACTGCACCTTGTTTCTATTATCCCATATCCCACTTCACATTGTTTCTATTATCCCATATCCCACTTCACCTTGTTTCTATTATCCAATATCACCTTGTTTCTATTATCCCATATCCCACTTCACCTTGTTTCTATTATCCCATATACCACTTCACCTTGTTTCTATTATCCCATATCACCTCGTTTCTATTATCCCATATACCACTTCACATTGTTTCTATTATCCCATATCCCACTTCACCTTGTTTCTATTATCCCACTGCACCTTGTTTCTATTATCCCATATCCCACTGCACCTTGTTTCTATTATCCCACTTCACCTTGTTTCTATTATCCCATATCCCACTTCACCTTGTTTCTATTATCCCATATCCCACTTCACCTTGTTTCTATTATCCCACTGCACCTTGTTTCTATTATCCCACTTCACCTTGTTTCTATTATCCCAAATCCCACTTCACCTTGTTTCTATTATTCCAAATCACCTGTTTTCATTATTACATATCACCTTATTTATATTATCCCCAAGCACCTTTCTTTCTAATCTTATACTCATCTCATGTATATATAAATACATTGTATTAGCTTTTTATTTTACTGCGCCCAAGTGCATTTGTTTTACAGGTTCGTTTGTACATCATATTTTTGTGTGTGTGTATATTAGAATAAATACGAAAACAAATTAAGATCAAAATGTAAAGCATAAAAGTGAATATAATTAATGAATATAGACGTTAACTCTGCCGACGGATAGAACTCAATTCCAGCTCTCCATATCAGCAACCATTATTAAAATCATTATCACGATCGGTCAGGTTTACACTGCCGTCACATTTTGATGCTTGAAATGTATCCGAAGAAAACAATTATTGCTATATCGCTTTAAAAAGACTTAACATAGCTTATGATCGTCAGATATTTTGTGAAGCGTGGGCCAATGTTCCAATTACCATTTTGTATTTTATGGTCAATTTGGCTGGTAATCAATTTATTTGTCTGTTATCTGTATTTGAAACGCGGTTATCTTAGATCAATACAACCGGAAGTATTACCATAGTGGCGGAATCATGTATATTAGTTAATGTTGAGAGCATTAATGAGAGCAAAATAGGACGTAAAACTCCATTCATTTCATTAATGAGAGCATGTGAGGACATTCACAAAATAAGATTTGTGTATTTGTTGGTCTATTATCATCTTTCTCCAAAAGACTAAAAGGATTCAATATTTACTTCAATGTCAGATATTTCTTATATCAAACGCTGGTGAAAGGAAAATCGGTTTATGTAATCGCTTCTGTAAATCTATACTATAAAACTTTGCGGTAGGAATATCTATGCAATAGTTATGTTTTTGATCGAAGAATTATTTTTTTTTGTCGAGAACTAAAATGACTACGAGGCATCGCCGTCAACCGAAATTAAATATGCCAAAAACATTATAGGACAGACCAGGGTAATGTCTCAGTGAATTAAGCCTAAATCTGAATAATACTTGACATTCCACGGTCGTGCATGGTTTCGACATATATCTCATTGCATGGTATGTGTGTCTGAGATGTTTAACAATTATCTCAAATGCATGTTTCAATCTTAAATTCCTAAAATTCGCTAAACAGTCTATTGTGAAACTAAGCATTTTTTTCTCGTTTTCTACCATTCGAAACAACATAATATATTTAAAAAATTGTGTAATAGGAAATAATACAGTTGAATACTGTTATTACTTAACGTAATATAAATACTACCTAAGGAACAACTGTCATAAATTATATACAATGTTTATCTATTTGGCATGCCAACAGGAGGTTGCAATAAGAGATGCCAAAATGGGGGGAAAAGCGATTCATCCACTGGAAAATGTCGGTGTAACTGTCCAAAACAATATTCTGGTGACCTTTGTCAACTTGGTATGTTATAATTACGCTTATAGTTGCATGTATTTTTATCATCGTTTCTATAGAAGAGGTCAGATAGATCCGTCGTTTTTTTAAAAAAATAGTACGAAGGTATTTAGCCCAACGAATCTGGGGTACAACTTCGTAAATTAAGTCTAATCTAATCATAGCTATTGACACACGGGGAAATTGTAAAATTTCTAGAAACGTCATGATGGATTCATTAAAATGGTTAAACCCTATATCGTTACCAACAAGTTCGCCAAAGAACTGGCTAGATTTTTCTCGCTAGAATATATTGTAGTAAGTGGGAGGAACAACCGTAATATTCTATTATGTTACCAATAGCTTGTTTTCCGGTCCCAACTTGACAAGACCTATTGACATTGATCTTGCCGATTTTAGCTGTAGCCATTTACATCTGGGTCGACTGAGGAAAAGGGTGGAGTGTTCAAGTGAATATTAGGTGTTTTAAACATGTTTAAGGTGTCTGTGATATATTTATATTTTTTGAAACATTTTAATTCAAGGTTAACGTAAAACTGAATGTTGTTCACATCAAATGAACATAAAAACACCCCAAAATGCATATGTTTTTTATATATAATCTATTGTGTGATTTGTGAACACATTATACGCTAAATTTTATGTTCGACTCTTCCTCTCCTTAAATGATAAAATATTTTGGATTTTGGATTCAAGGTTACCTATTTACTGTAAAGACGTGATTAACAGATCATGCTCAAATTCAAGTTTTTACGAAAGACATTCTATGTAAAATAATTCTTAGAAATAAAAAGTTGTAAGGCGTGACTCGGGGATCACCTTACATCTTTATTAATTTTCAAGTAGTTCTCAAACCGCTTTATGTGACCAAGGTCGCCTTTTTCAAATCTATGTTATCGTTTGATTTATTTTTTTCAAATCTATGTATCAAATCAAACCGTCTTCTAAATAACTGTATTGATTAAAATACCAATGTTGGAGATTTCAGTAGAAATTTGGAGTATGGTAAAGGTTTTTTTCTTATTAAACCAAACAGTCTTGAAATACGATGGTTTAAATTTATTTTTAGTTGAAACTTATATTATATCCATTCGAAAAGGCAACAAAAACAATATCACTTAAAAAGAAAAGTAACCACGATTTTGATTCATGGTTTTGCCATTTATCTTCGTCACCCTGGTAACAATATACAAACAAAAATGTAAATTCATTATTTTCCATGATATTATCACTAAAAGAACGCTTTAACATTTCTACAAATTAAATTTTCTACTCAAAATTCTAGGTCCGTCATGTTCATTAACATGTGCTACTAATGGACAATTGGATTCAACAAACTGTGTCTGTAATTGTTTAAATGGATACACGGGAACACAATGTGATATTGGCAAGTTTCTGTGTTGAGAATCACTTCAGTATGGTATATGGGGTCTGCACTTTTCACTTCTGCTTTTAGAAAAGTTTAAATATCACTTTAAATTTGGTTTATAGGGAGCACTTTTAATATTAAAATATAAAATTTTGTTTTGTTTTGTGGTTGAATGTTTATCACCATCATATCATATGTTACGTTTGTTTTTGTTTATGATTTAAGTTACTGTTCGTGTAAAAAACATTTTGTATATTTGGTGTCGGTGATTCCTGGTTATTTATGTCCCTTACTTTCTGTGGTATAATGGGTAATATTTATGCTTGGGTGTTTGGTATTTATGACAACCTATTCCTTTAATACTATGGTTAATAAATTTACCCCAAGGGGCATTAAGAAACGTTTTGAAACCGACTTGGAAAAGTCATTCGAGTTTGATAAAATATTGTTACAATGTTATCACTCACAAACGATAAACTGTTGTGATTTTATAACAATTAATCATCAATAACAATTCATTTCTTCTAAAAATTTAATTCAAAATGTAGAAAAGTATGACTTAAAACGGTATATTTCACCTCTTTTGAATTTATTGCTTAACATATTTTAACAGCTCCTGTTCCTCAGTGTAGTTTAACTTGCTCACAAAATGGTCAACTTGATGCCGTGGCTTGTAAATGTAATTGTGTCAATGGGTACACAGGAACTCGATGTGGAACAGGCAAGTCATTATACAGTCGGTGATGGGACTTTTTCTTGATTAGTTTTCTTTTGCGGATAATAATTTTTTAATAAATTGATAATAATTTAATGACAAATATAAATTTTTACTATGTGAATTCACGTGGCGTTTAATGCTAAAACTTTAAAAGCTCCAGTGCAGTATCTAAATTGCGCTCAGTAATTGTTTCAATGGGTACACGGTCAATCGATGTGCAACAGGCAACTCATTATAAAGTAAGTGAAGGGCTGACCCAATTAAAACTATTTTAATGATATAGTTTCTGTGTAAATTGACGAAACAGTGTCTTTTTTTTCACTCTTTAACAGCTAAAGTTCCCCAGTGTAGTTTAACATGCGCACAAAATTGACACAATATTAATGATGAGCTTGCTGACAATAATTCTAAATCAATCGTAGACATATTTTTTTTCTTACTCGATCAAACATTTCAAGGCAAATAGTCATTATGGTGGTGATGGGCAAGTTAAGTCTTTTACAAAATGTTGGTTTTTATGCGAGTAAATTTTTTTAATCAATTAAAAATAATGACATATTTTCTATGTTCATTGACATTTTTAAAAGCACAGATTCGACTGATCTGTAAAAAGTGTCTAAAAATTTCGAATATTAAATTCATTTATCTGTTAAAAATAACAATGATATAAATTTTTATTTTACTTGAACTAATATTATATATGTGAAACCTTATTTCCCTTAACAGCTCCAATTCCTCAGTGTAGTTTAACTTGCACACAAAATGGTCAACTCGACGCCGTGGCTTGTAAATGTAATTGTTTGAATGGATACACAGGAACTCGATGTGGAACAGGCAAGTCATTATAAAGTCGGTGATGGGATCTCTGAGAATGAAAAGTAATTTGTGTAAATTTTGCAAGAATTGTAATGTAAATTAATGATGCTATGGTCTAAAAAAGAAATCTAAGATAATGCCCAAAATAAAATAGAATCCATCAAAACATATCGTATATAAATACACATTTGGACATTAAAGAATATCATAAAATCTCTTTCTTCACTTAACCATTATAATCGATTATGGTATAACATTAACAGCTCCAGTTCCCCAGTGTAGTTTAACTTGCGCACAAAATGGTCAACTTGACGCCGTGGCTTGTAAATGTAATTGTTTGAATGGCTACACAGGCACTCGATGTGAAACAGGCAAGTTAATAACTTAAGTT